TTCCCGAAAGGACTTTTGTAGAGCATCGCAGTGGTTTAATTTATCTAAATTGCAAAGTAAAAGTTGCTGTTGCGAAGTAAACCCGGGGCAGACTGAGGTTGAGGACCCTTAGAAATGTTAAGTAAGAGGAGCAGACCGGTGAAGAGGTTGAGGCTGAGTGTGAATTCAGAGCTCGTAATTAATTACATGCTTAATCCGGTTCCCAGGGGCCTAATGAAGAGGGTACGAGTCTGAGAAGCCAGTCCGTTTTGTTTATTTTTTTTCCTTAATCCAATAAAAAGGACAGGACACAGATTTTTTTTTTTTGGAGGGTCACTCCCTTCATTAAGTTTCTTCTGTATGAGCCGGGAGTCGTGAAGGCAGGAGGTGGAGGGTACGTGGGTATCTGACTCCAGATGCCTGCCCTTTGCCGAGTTTGTCCGTGGAGTCGGAGAGGTTCTTGCTACAAAGCACTGCGAGTAACCTCGGTCCTGGGAGTCTTGAAAAACCTAATTCCTTCAGAAAGCACTCGCTTTATTTATTGGAACGGGAGACGTCAAATTGAAGTGTATCCCGGGCAGCCATGGAGTTTTTGGGCCACTTCACTTTGAGCAGGATCTTATTTTCCCCTTTCTCTCCACCCCAGCTGCTGTAGGGTGGGGGCTCTGCGGGGCGTGCGGGTTCGGGCACTGCTAACCGAGCTGTCTCTCTCCTTCCCCTTCTCCTCTGGCCGCTCCTCGGTGCAGGGCGGCTGAGCCCCCCGGCTTGCACCCTGCGCAAGCACAAGACGAACAGGAAGCCCCGGACACCCTTCACCACGGCGCAGCTGCTGGCCCTCGAAAGGAAGTTTCGGCAGAAGCAGTACCTGTCCATCGCTGAGCGCGCAGAGTTCTCCAGCTCGCTCAGCCTCACCGAGACCCAGGTGAAGATCTGGTTCCAGAACCGCCGCGCCAAGGCCAAGCGGCTCCAGGAAGCTGAGCTGGAGAAGCTGAAGATGGCAGCCAAGCCCATGCTCCCGCCTGCTGCTTTCGGCATCTCCTTCCCGCTGGGCGGCCCGGCTGTGGCTAGCGCCTCTCTG